TCTGAAACACACACACACACACACACACACACACACACAGATCATCATCATGTGAGCTCTATTCAGTGTTCATATCAGTGATCGTGTAAATATCATCATCTTCATCATCCTCTTCATCATGACAGCAGTTAGCTCAGTCTGATGCTCGCGTTGACGCTCCGCGGCGCTGCGGTTACAGGACTGCAGCATCTGTGCCGTTAAACGCGGCGAGTTTCCTCTAAGACCCTAACCCCCTCCGCTCTCAGATGTGTTGGGGTGTAAATACTCGATGAGCAGACTGAACTCTGGCGCTCGTGTTTACCTGATTCTGCTGCTGTTTGCTTCAGGATAGAATCAGTCGCGTTTCTCTCTTTCAAGCGTGTGCCGTAAAGCAGTGCCGTGAAAAACATCCGCTCACATTTGACCAATCAGATGCGCGAAAGTTTGACTGACAGTGAATGTCACCAATAGTCTATCAGAAAGCGAGAAGAAGGCGGGGCCGCTATGGCAATAGTCAGAAATCGTTTTAAGAGTCGTGAGTGTCTTTTTTAAAAATTGTGGAAACGCTGTCATTTAATAATCTAATATATAAACGTTTATGTGTGTTTTGTGCTAAAAATACCGAGTGACTTGCATATTATTAGCAAAATACTAAATTATAGATTATATGAGCATAATTATTGTCAGGCATATTTAGATTAAGAATCCTTTTACGGCTGTATTCAGGGATCAACCCAAAATCCTCTGTTAAATATCAATAAAAATATTGTAAAATACGATCGTGTGTTGTTTAATATTATGTAATCAGTCAAGACAAAAATAAGTGATTTGATTTTAAGATACACATATATCTGTTGAATTACACACACAAAGTTGCTTTTGTGATTTTTACTACATAAATATGTTATTCAAATACTTTTAAATCAATAAAAATGTGCTGTTTACAACAACTTTAATTTATTCCAATCACTGAATCGATCGTCTCTGCAGGAAATATAGGCGTTATCAGATCAGTAGGCGTGGTCAAAACTGTGGGGCGTGTTTTACTGTGTTACCTGATTAGCTCACGATATTAGTGCCAGTTCTCTATGTCAACGTGATTTGTGAATCTTGAGTTAGAAACGCCCACCAGTTTGAAAACACCCACACCGGTCAGAAACGCCCACTGCAGCGGTAAAGTCTAGATGAGATACAGCTGCGGATTTTTTGTAACTCTGTAAAATAATAATTCATATTTTTCCGTTGATTTTACGTTTGGAGTAGGAGAAGTAGTTTTTAATGAATAATACTCTGTATAATTACTGTTTTTACATTACTGTGAGGGTTGTGTTTAGGTTTGGGGTAGGGATAGACTGTTATAAAATACATTTTGATTGTTGATTTGATAAATTATATTATGGAGGACGAAACCTGCAAAAACATTAAATGAATAAATCCGCACATATATGAATTAATGGGTAAGTAAATCCATAAATTCATCCATAAATTCATGCATGAATAAAATAATAAATAAATATGCAAATAAAAAAATAAATGTATATACAAATCCACAAATTCCTGCATTGATAATTTTAAATAAATAATACTGCAGGCAAATAAATAATTAAATAGATTACACAAATGTTGGGGAATAAGAAAATTCTAAACTGAAAGTTTATTTCCTCATTTCAAACATTTATTAATTCCTTGAATGTAGTTCCCTATTTACTTTTCCTCAGATCAACATAGCATTGTCTTATTCTCCCCACCTTCATGTAATTTATTCATTTGTTTACCTGCCTGCACTTTTAATTATTTATATATTTATTTGGGCATTTATATTGTTTTATATACATTTATTTATTTATTTGCATATTTGTTATTTTATATATGCACAAATTTATGGATTTATTTACTTATTTATTTGCGTATTTATTTATTGTTTTTGCAGGTTTCGTCTTC